GCCGCGCGGGGACGGGAGCCGCCACGCCGCTTCCCTCCGGGGCCAGTTTCCCGGGGCTGACCCGACCCCGTCTCCTCCTAGGGCCGCGGTGCGAGGTGAGTCCCCGCTTTCCGACGGAGCTGCCCGGGCGAGATGGAGCGCTGCCCCCGAGGCCCGAGCGCCGCCCGCGACCCCGCGCTGGCCGGCCCTCGCTAACCGCTCGCACTGGCCCGGGCATCCCCGCCACCGAGGCCTGTCGCCTGGGTCAGCGGTGTTGTTGTTGGAAAGAAGTGGGAGACAAGGAGCGATGTGACGGATCCCGCGGGGTCCGCTGGCATTGAGGCCTGGTTGGCATTTGCAGAGAGGAAAACAGAGCGAGAGGACCGTGGGTTTTAGAGGAGAGGGCAGTGGGAAGGGAGAGTGCGAAAAGAGAAACAAGAGTTTGAGGCTTTCTATTAAATTTGTTTGCTTGTGTGTGTGGGTAGGGGTGGGGTTGGTAAACTGCATTTTGGCTCTGCAAGCCAAAGAAGCGTTTCCCAGGGTTATTTTTCTATTGAGAAGAGAGAAGTGGATTATTACAACACCCCCACCCCCCACCCCCGTTTGATTCCAACCTTTTTTCTCAGTGACAAAGCATAAATCATGGACACCAGAGAATAAGGTGGACCCCAGGCACCCTCCCCCAGAAAAGGCTGAGGAGATTCCATTCTTCCTGGGGAGGGGTGAGCGGGGTGTTGTCGACCCTCTCTGGCACTGAGAGCCACGCACCATGAGTTGTGTGCCTTGGAAAGGAGACAAGGCCAAGTGGGAGTCGGTGGAGCTGCCCCAGGCGGCACCCCCCCAGATCTACCATGAGAAGCAGCGCCGAGAGCTGTGTGCCCTCCATGCCCTTAACAACGTCTTCCAGGACGGCGCCGCCTTCACCCGGGAAACGCTGCAGGAGATTTTCCAGAGGTAGGTGGCGGGAGGCTCTGCACCTTGGCCGAGCTGAATACTTCAGATCTTGGCATTTCTGCCTGCGGGGGATGCGGTCGGGGTCGTGGTGGGTGTAGGGGTGGGTGCAAAACAGCTCAGCTGCAAGGACCTGCAAACCACAGGTTATCATTAGGCAGAAGCCCCTCGAGAGGGGCATTATGGAACGCTGGCTTGTTCTTGCCATTTTATTGATAAAACCCAGCCTCAGGGAAGTAAGCAATCTGCCCAAGGGGAGGGAGTGAGGGATGGTGTGTGTGTGTATGTGTGTGTCTTTGAGTTTCTATCTGAGCCGTTGGCCACTGTGCTGTGAGACTTCTGACACTGCCCCCATAGAAGTTTACAGATCAGAAGAAGGACTCAGCCTGGGTGTCTGGGTGTAGTTCTTTCCGTGCTTGGTGCAGCACATCCCTGAATCCCCGGGACCAGCTCTAGTTTAGGTCTGTAGAACAGGCAGAAAGGTCTACTCAGTTGGCCAAAAGGCTTTCTTTTCAAGTAGCAAAGCTAGGATTTCAAGCCAGGCACCAGGCTTGCATCCCTGGGCTTTGATTTTTCTCTGGAATATTTTATCAAAGGGTTTGAGAATCAGCCCAAAGTTTCTATTGGAGCCAGCAATATGCCTGCTGGCACAGTGTGGGGCAGAACCAGCTGTGAGCCAGCCTGTCTGATCCTTCCAGGTTAAAGGGGCTGGGCCTGCTCAGCCCTGTGGGCAGAGAAAGCTAGAGAGGACTCCCCTCCCATCCCCCAAACACCTTCCAGAAGCCCCTGTCCTGACTCTTTTCACTGGGAGTTGAGCTGATGGCCCCCCATCGAGACCTGCTGGTTAGTGGGAAGCCACCCAGGTGTAAGTGCTACATGAAGCACTGGTGGCCATTACCCTACAGGATGTGAACCACGGGGTGCGGACAGAACAGTGCCAATGGTGACCAGAATGATCGATTGCCCTCGCGGGACCAGTGTGTCAGTGGCCACTGTCAGGCAGGAAACAGTGCACTCCTTTCCGGCACCGGGTTCGGTCCCTGAGAGGCGAGACAGTATGTCTCACATCATTGAAAAGGGTAGGAAGGAGGACCCAGGCCATCAGCAGGCTGCCTTTTGCCCAGCCGCTGTCCTTCTATTCCTTACCAGCTGTTTGCAAAGGATTTCCTAGCCGGAGACCAGGGAAAGGACCATGGGAGGCTTGGGACTTGGTGCTATAGTGCTGGCAGACAGCAGCTCCATCCCCATGGTGCATCTACGGCAACAAGGGACTTGGTTTCGGGGACGTGTCCGGTTTGATTAGTATAGAATCAAGAGTCGAGGTTCTGTGCTCCCAGATCTATCCCACTGAAAAGCTGTCACCTCCTTGAATCTGGCCCCTGCCCTGACAATGGGGCACAAACTTGGCATTCACACGTCTGCAGGCTTCTTGGCCGAGCACTGCCCCGAGTGCTTGCCTAATGCTCTCGTTCAAGCCTCACGCCACTCTTGGCAGGTTGCTCCCGGTAGTGCCCATTTTCCAGATGAGAAAACGGGGCCACAAAGTGTCCACAGAGCTGTCATCGGCATGACCCAGGCCTAAGCTTTGTGACTCCAGGAACCCTGGTGGCCTAGTAGGTTATGTGTTGGGCTACTAATTGCAAGATCAGCAGTTTGAAACCACTAGCCACTCCTCGGGAGAAAGACGAGGCTTTCCACCCCCAGAAAGAGCTACAGTCTCAGAACCCCACAGAGGCAGTTCTACCCTGTTCTGTAGAGTCACTCACTGTGAGTCAGTATCGACTCGATAGCCATGAGTTTGGTTTGGCTTTGGTTACGTGATGATTCCTGGGCCTGCCCTGCAAATGGTTCTGCAGCTCCCTGAGATTGGGAAGACCCAGTTGGCTGTGAGTCTCTGTTCCCCCTGCTGATCATAGTAAATGGGGTGCAGGACTGATGATCTGGGCTGTTTGTGGACAATGGCAGGACCCTGCCCACCAAGGTTCCCTGCATGAAAGAATGCTAACTATTTGCCGGACACTCTCATGGAACCAGGGTTTCTAGTCCTGGCTTCTAAAAGCTTGAGCTAAAAAAAGAAAGATTATGCTCAAGGTGAAAGTTTACAGGGCACATCAGTTTCCATCTGATAGTTTATTCACAAAATGCCCCAAGACACCAGTGACATTCCCCACCATGTGTCAGCACTCTGCCTAATCCTGCCTAGGGGGTGGGTCCCCCATCCCCCCTGATTCTTGTCAGGCTTTCCTACCCCTTCCTGCCTTCCCACTTTGCTTTGGGGGCAGCGGCAGCAGTGGTCCTTTTGATCCGGTCTATTTGACTGTGCTAAAAAGCACCTTTCTCTGGGGCCTCCTTTGCACATTTTCCTGTTTTTCTCAATTCCTGATCCACAAACTATAATATATCCTCCCCCACCCCACCCCACCACCACAAGGAAAAGCGAGCAAGTATCTCAGAGATACACATTCTGCACCTCCAGAGGTGGACTCGGTAGCATGGATTTGATGGACAGCTAGGTGAGAAGAGTGGAGAGAAGGGAGCCGGAGGAGCAAGCCAGGGGGAGGAGAGGGAGGGGAGGCAATGGAATCTTTTAAACAAACATTTGCTAGCTGTCGACAGTGTGCCAGGCACCGTGGGCTCTGCAGGGAAACCCAGTTGAACCAGCAGCCAGCCCCTGAGACACGCACCTCGGGCAAACACACTGACTGGGCCCCGAGAATGGGTTTCAGGGACCAACGTTGGGACCATGGAATTCGGAGCAGTTTTTTAAATGCCAGGACCCACCTTCCGGATGATGGGTTAGCATCTGAAGAGAAGGCAGTGTGCCTTTGGAAGGTTTCCCTAGTAACTTGAGATCCCCAGAGCTAATATGTTGGATGGGTTTATGAAGAGGAGACTGTTAAACGTGCCGGGAAGGGGAGAAAGACATTAGTTTTTCTGCCACTGGTTGAGAGGAAGGTCATTCTAGCCACTGAATGTTAGCCAGATGAAAAGGATTTTTTCCTTTTTGCCAGGAGAAATAACAAAAGCAGGGTGGGGTTTCAGTTCAGTTGTGGAGATAATGGTGACTCATGTTTGGACTAAAAGTGAGTTGGAACTTCGAAAGAAGCTCATGGCTTGGCAGCCACAGAAAGAGCGCAGTCAGATGTGCCGGAGCGTCTGAGGCCAATGGTCACTTCAGCAGTGACGGCCAAACGGCATTGGTTTGAAAGGGATCGATTTCCAGCAGCAGTGACATCGAAGAACAGCAGAGAGCCTGGGTCCGTTTCGGTGTCAGTTCCAACTCCCTGTGACCGTAGGTTCCCAAGGCTGTTGTCTTTACAAAAATAGCCTGCCTCCTCTTTCTCCCGTGGGGCAGCAGATGGGCTCAAACTCTCATTTAACACCGAATCGACTATGTGTATAGATGGGGATATTTGGGCTCATACACTTTATCCTATGAGCTTGTGTCTTATCAAGAGGCCCTCGTGGTGCAGTGGGTAAGCTCTGGACTGCCTACTGAAAGGTCAGCGGTTTGAACCCATCAGCTACTCCCCGGGAGAAAGATGTACCAGTCTGTTTCAGGCAAGATCACAGCGGTGGAAACCCTGTGGGTCAGTTCTCCTCTGTTTGACGGGGTCACTGTGCAAAGGAATCCACTTGACAGCCATGGGTTGAGTGTGGTTCTCGGTCTAGCTTCTGAAACTGACCAGTCCTCAGAGGGCAGATGGTACAGTAGCATCCTTGTGGGTTATTTTGGAACTCCTCAGGCCCCAAACATTTTCACAAGTCAGACTCAGCCCAACTGTTGGGTGATCAAGTGTTCTTGCAGCCAAGTACGTGTTCCTCCCTCCAAAAGAAGAGACCAGACTAAAGTTTGCCGTCATCAAGCTGAATCCTATTCATGGCAACCCTGTAGGACACGGTAGAACTTGCCTCTGGGTTTCTGAGACTGTCGCTCTTTACAGGAGTAGAAAGTCCCGTCTTTCTCCCACCGAGCCGCTGGTGGTATCGAACTGCTGACCTTGTGGTTAGCGACTCAGCTTGTAACCTTGACGCCACTACGGCTTCTCTCTCAAATTAAGCAGCTACTAGACTCTAATTAGAAGAAAATTAGCTTGATTTGGGGGTGGGGATCTAATTCATGTGGGAAGGAACAGATGTACTGGATGCTTGGAGACAGCTAGCAGTCTGTCTACAGTCCAGCCTCTCCACTTAAAGCTTCCGGGCAGGTAGCTGGGCAGTGCCAGCTCTGGGATAGAATTCTCACGGTCCAGGGGAGGGGCGAACTGGAGTCCTGGCGATTGCACCCCATGCACAACCACCACCACCCACCTCTGTCTGGGGAGCCCTGTGTATGGCTATGGTGCTGAACAGGTTTCAGCAGAGCTTCTGGACTGTGATAGCCAAGGAGGAAAAGCCTGGCCACCTACCTCTGAAACTCATCCTGTCCACCCCAGGGATCCCAACTGACTCACTGGCAACTCGTCTTAGGGGGTGGCGCAAGCGAGGCTGTGTTTCACGCCACTGCGTGGGGCCACAGTGAGTCCGGCTGACAGGAGGACAGCTCACAGCACAACTGTGAGCCGGCAGAAGGGTCGCATAGAAAGGTGTCGTGGTTGTCAACAGAGCTGGAGTGGGCGTGTTCTCAAGGGTAGTGGTGATGGAGAGGGTGACGGTGACGGAGGCGGCCCACCCCAGCGTCATGTGAGCTCTGCTTTGTGTGGGTGGACCAGGGCTTCGAATTCATCCTGGCCCGGCCCCCTGCTGAGAATGCCGGTCTAGCCCAGATATTTGCAATCGACTCTCCAATTTCACAAGCGCCCAGGTGGTTTGGGTGCATAGCTCACTGGGATCTTGTTAACGCGGGTTCTGAGGCTGTATGGCTGGTGTAAGAAGGCAGATTCTTAGCAGGAGCCTTGTCTTGGGGTGGGTTCTCAAGAGAATTAAAACGGATGAAATATACCCAGTACCTATATCTGTGTGTATGTAAAGAGAGAGATTTGTATCATGAACATGGCTCCCAC